CGAAAAAGAGGTCGACAGAAGATAAGGTGGCTTGACACCATCACTGATGTCATGGAAACAAACTTACAAGAACTGAAGGAAATGGTCACTGACAGGCAATCCTGGCGTAATAACGTCTATCAGGTCACGAAGAGTCGGACTCGACTAAACGACTGAACACACACACATTGGACTATATGAAAAACATCTATAAAACAAAAAAAAACAACTTCTTTATTCTAGGAAACAAAACTTGAAATGAATCGTTGAAGTGAATAATTTAAAATAAAATTTGTAGGAAATTACTTTATTATTTCAATAGACTTCTATGGATATGTACAAAGTTGGAGAAGATCCAAGTGAAACAGAATTATCTTCAAGTGATAATAGTACTATCCCAGATATTAATGGTGTTAATAAAACTATGGTTCGAGATGGTACGATTTTAAATTGTAAATGTATTATCACAACTGATGGTTTAAGGTCTGACATTGAACTTATAAATGATTTATTGTATGGTATTGTACACTTGAATAGAGAAATATTAAATGAAAAAATAGTATCTAAAATCTCTGATCAACAAATTGATAGAAACTTATATAATGAGATTGTTGATTGGTTAGATAAAAAAAGATCTATAATCGTCGTTAAGTATCTGCAGTATTTATCTATTGCATGCGATATGAATTTTTATCAATGTTATATAGGAAACCATCAGTATCATGGTCGCATATTTGTACCTATTGATCAAAATCATGATATAGTAAATGCTATTTATTATATATGTGATAACTCAGGACAAAATGTCAAAGCTATATGGATTACCGATCATTCCTATATTAATCATATTAATAATCGATTATCATTACAAAAACATGAAAATTTAGTTGATAAAGTTGAATTATGTAATATATTGATTTCCTATTATATTCAACAAGCAAAAGCTCTTCAATTTCATCAGCACCTACTCTTAGTTTCTAAATGGCAATCTATATACAAATGTTATAAGATCAGAATGAGCTTACTGATTGATCTTAATCCAATCGAATTACTAGGATATTGCCAATGCTTAATAATGCTTAGTAGATATACTGATGCTGAAAATTTAATATCAAATGTATTACTACAGACGTATGAAACGGATGAGACGTGGCATATGCTTTGTCAAAGCACAACGCAAACGTAAAAAATACTCAAGTTCAACAAAAGAAAAAGAAAAATATGAAACGTACACAATAGCTCTTACAAATATTGATAGAGCACTTCGTTCGAATGACAATAATGAAGAAATAAAAAATGAACAAACCATAATAAATAAACTAATAGAACGGAGATCACAAAGTGAAACACCTATAATGCATAATATCATACATAGAAAACGTGCTGATAATTGTTCGATTATTTTTATCAGGTGCAGATAGACCAACTGCAATAATAGCACCAGTTGATGTTCCAGCCATCATTTGAAACATAGATGAACTGGAT